CTTCCCTCTACATCCATCAACTGTACCCCAACCCCTCCATCCCCTTCCCTCCACATCCATCAACTGTACTCCAACCCCTCCACCCCCTTCCCTCTACATACATCTACTGTACCCCAACCCTTCCATCCCCCTTCCCTCCACATCCATCTACTGTACCTCAACCCTTCCATCCCATTCCCTCCACATCCATCTACTGTACACCAACTCCTTCCCTCTACATTCATCAACTGTACACCAACCCCTTCCCTTCACATCCATCAACTGTACCCCAACTCCTTCCCTTCACATCCATCAACTGTACCCCAACCCCTTCACATCCATCCATCCCCTTCCTCCACATCCATCAACTGTACCCCAACTCCTTCCCTCCACATCCATCAACTGTACCCCAACCCCTTCACATCCATCCATCCCCTTCCCTCCACATCCATCTACTGTACCCCAACCCCTCCATCCCTTTCCCTCCACATCCATCTACTGTACCCCAACCCCTCCATCCCCTTCCCTCCACATCCATCAACTGTACCCCAACCCCTCCATATCCATCAACTGTACCCCAACTCCTTCCCTCTCCTTCCCTCTCCATTCATCAACTGTACACCAACCCCTTCCCTTCACATCCATCAACTGTACCCCAACCCCTTCACATCCATCCATCTCCTTCCCTCCACATCCATCAACTGTACCCCAACCCCTTCACATCCATCCATCCCCTTCCCTCCACATCCATCAACTGTACCCCAACCCCTCCATATCCATCAACTGTACCCCATCCCCTTCTTTCCACATCCATCTACTGTATCTCAACCCCTCCACCCCCTGCCCTCCACATCCATATACTGAACCCCGACCCCTCCACCCCATCCCTCCACAGCTGCCTACCTACTGTACACCAACCCCTCCGTCCCCTTCCCTCTACAGCCATCCATCTACTCTACCCCTCCGTCTTCTTCTGTCCACAGTCCTCCATCTACTGTACTCTGACCTCTTCACTCCATAGCTGTCCATCTGTTGTACCACAACGCCTCCATCCTCTTTCCTCCACAGATGTCCTTGTACTGTACCCAAAGCATAAATGGGGCACCAGCACTCCAACTCGTGAATAGTGCATCTTTTATTGATGAAAGTGCAGCATGTCACACAAATGCAACGCTTTGGGATCACGCAGGATCCCCTTCCTCAGGCAGAACATATTTCCCTCCACATTCATGTACTGTACTCTGAGCCTTCCCTCCACATCCATTTACAGTACCCCAACCCCTCTGTCATCTTCCCTCCACATCCATTGACTATACCCTGATACCTCCATTCCCTTCCCTTTGCAGCCATCCATCTACTGTTCCCCGGATCCCTCCATTCCAGCCACATCCATCCATCTTCTGTACCCCAACCCCTCTGTCCCTTCCCTCCACATCTGTTCATCTTCTGTACCCCAACCCCTCTGTCTCTTCCCTCCACATCCGTCCATCTACTGTACCCCCAACCCCTTCTCTAAAGTAGATGGAGGGCTGTGAAGGGAAGGGGATGGAGGGGTTAGGGTACTGTAGATGGATGTGGAGGGGATGGAAGGGTCAGGGTACTGTAAATAGATGTGGAGAGAAGGGGACAGAGTACAGTAGCTGGAAGTGGAGGGGACAGAGGGGTTGGGGTACTGTAGATGGATGTGGGGGTAAGGGGACAGAGGGGTCCGGGTACAGTAGATGGATGTGGAGGGGGATGGAAGGGTCAATGTACTGTAGATGGATGTGGGGGTAAGGGGACAGAGGGGTCCGGGTACAGTAGATGGATGTGGAGGGGGATGGAAGGGTCAATGTACTGTAGATGGATGTGGGGGTAAGGGGACAGAGGGGTCCGGGTACAGTAGATGGATGTGGAGGGGGATGGAAGGGTCAATGTACTGTAGATGGATGTGGGGGTAAGGGGCAGAGGGGTTGGGGTACAGTAGATGGATGTGGAGGGGGATGGAAGGGTCAATGTACTGTAGATGGATGTGAAGGGAAGGGACAGAGGGGTCAGAGTACAGTACATGAATGTGGAGGGACGGAGGCAGAGAGGTCCAGGATTTTTTGCAGCCTGTTGAGGACACTGCGCCCCATATCCGAATCTTCTGTCTATAGCAATACAAATAAAAAAAGATCCAAACAGAGTGAAAGTAAATTGTGTTTTTATTTGCATATTAAAGTGGGACTTGTATGAAAACCGGCCAATAATAATTTACAATCAGGAAAATAAGTGTTCAGCTCTGGTCACACCTGTAATTAATGTTCCAGGATAGAAACGTCCCCGCTGCCACATCGCCGGGGATCCAGTAACAGACTCGACCTTCTGGTGTATAAATAAAATGTCTTTTCCGAAAGGTTTTAATTGTTTCATCTCAGGCGGAGGATCTGGGAAGTCCGTCTGCTCCTAAGAGATCCAGCGTGGGGTCCTGGGATTGTGCCGGGCCCGGTCCGGTCTGCAATGTCGTAACATAATGAATTTGGAACAAGTTTGGGGTTCGGTAGTTTAAATGGAATAAAAGGCAAAATTTCATGATGAACCTCTTCCCCAATGTACAGACATATCACAGCCCTATATTGTCTGTATTATCAGCAGGGCAGCCATCAGAAATTTTAGGGCCCCTTACACGGCTTTAGGCCCCCCCCACAGTGACAGTTTGATCCCACATGGGAAGACTTCACCAGAAATGAAAGGGAATGGAGTTTCATTAGAGAGAATGGATAGAGCTTTTCTACATGTTTTATTTTTCACGTTATGAACATTCTTACCTGTGTGATGATGACATATCGCACTCCTCCGGGGCACGCGTCACCTTCAATGGCCGTTGTCAGCTCCTGAGACAAGGGGGCGGGGCTCACCGGTAACCCTTTAATAAACCTGCAAACACAACATCAAAAGATGATGATCACTTTCATAAAGCTCGGCTTGGCTCATCAAAGTCTGAAATGTCAGCTTGGTGGGTGATGACTTCAGGATCTGCGCATGTACAGAATCCTAACACATTAGCCCACTCATGGAACTCATGGGAGGGGGGGCTGGAACCCTTCCTCGGAAAGATCCAGCCCCCTGCACCCGTATCAGATGCTACCTGATGCCGTAGGGAAGTACAATATAACAGCGGATCACTTGCTGTGTGACAGAACAGATCTACATTAGCAGACCTGGATGAACTGGATGTATCTGGCCCGTCGGATCTACTACTGTGAATTCCTGACATAGCGAGCGGCGTCACCGTGAGACTGATGTCCCCCATCGCGGCACTTCTCCAGCGCGTGCCAGGAATTAGTGCTGATGAAAAGTGGGAATGTTTCATGCTCCCGTGAATTCAGTGAACACAAACTATGTATGGTGACAAAACCACATTGTGACTGCAGATGGAGGGGGCAGGGGGTGGCTATAGGGTCGCCACCTTTTCTTCAAGCAAAACCGGAACACACTCGAGCGACGCCTCGGACATTTTTTGGGGAGAACGAGTCCTTGCTTATGTAAATAGTGCCCCCCATTCATATGTAAATATCACAGTTGAGACTATTTTCGGTGGTGGGGGCCAGTGGTCCCTATCTTAATTTTAGTTGCCCCGTCTGCCTGACATCTTGTGTCCGGGTTTCTGCTGCCATGAAACCTGGACACTCAAAACCCGGGCTGTATGGGTGAATCCTGGACAGGTGGCAAACCTAGGTGGCTAGTAGGGACACTACAATATGCGGGAGTGTCCCCGGTATAAATGTCATGTTTGCAGATAGTCTGTAGCCAGCCAGAGCTTTGTTTATGTTATCTGGAATCGTTCGGTTTCCCCTGAGCCCAAGGACATTGATTACTTCTGCCTGCCTCTGTTGGGTGTCCTCCAGCGGGTAGAGTGAGAAGATACATGGTATCAGGTTATGAAAATGTATTCTGCCCCGGCCACTGACTGAGGGGCTTATGCCAGCGAGTTGCCTGGAGCACATGTATGTGTGAAGGGTCCAGTCTTGGCTTCTCAGGCCTGTTGTGAATGTCAGTCCAGAGGTCTGTGGCTCCCAGGACTGCTGCCTGGGGAGGGTATAGCTCCAGATGGGTCCAGTACATGCTCCTCAGGCCTCTTGCCTGATTGACCATCTGGGCTTAAGGGTCCACAACTGCCCCGTGAGAGGGGCTGAAGATACTTAAAGGCAGGTAGGTAGATGGCTCACTGAATTAACATGTGGCAGAGGTTAAAGGTACTAAAAGATAATACTGGGTGGAGTTGTGGCTGTTTTGGGGTATCCTGAACCCCCAATTGTCATTTCCCTGGACAACTAAGCCAATAAGAGAACGAAATCAAGATTGATGGAGTGGAAGAATATCTGTCCGCCATAGTTGGAATAGTGAGTGTTTGGGTGCAGCTATAGGCCAAGGCTGGTTATATCGGTGCTACAGCTGTGCAGACTGTAGGTGGTGGCTGACGGTGGTGATGGTAGTTGGCGGCTATAGGTGGCGACTGTAGCTGTTGGCTGTGGGTGGAGGCTGTAGGTGGTGCTGGTAGTTGGTGACTGTAGTTCGTGGCTGTAGGAGGTTGCTGTGGGTGGTGGCTGTAGGTGGTGAGGATAAGTGGTGGCTGTGGTGGCTGTAGGTGACGACTATAGGTGGCTGTAGGTGGTGAAAATGGTAGTGGCTGTAGGTGGCGACAGTGGTGGTGGCTGGGGTGGTGACTGTAGTGGTGGCGACTATAGGTGGCTGTAGGTGGGGGTTGTAGGTGGTGACAATGGTAGTGGCTGTAGGTAGTGACGGTGGTGGTGGCGACTATAGGTGGCTGTAGGCAGTGGTTGTAGGTGGCGACAGTGGTAGTGGCTGTAGGTGTTGACAGTGGTGGTGGCTGTAGGTGGTGACTGTGTTGGCGACTGTAGGTGGTGGTGACAGTGGTAGTGGCTGTAGGTGGTGACTGTGGTGGTGGCGACTATAGGTGGCGACTATAGGTGGCTGTAGGTAGTGACTGTGGTGGTGACTGTGGTGGCTGTAGGGTTAGGTTTACAATATGTTGCATAATGTTCATATCTCCCTGTTATATGTATATAATATTCTCTCCTTTACTGCAGTTAAAACATTTGCTTCTGCGCCAGAGAAAACGGCGGCCATGTTTGCAATCAGTCCCGGGCACCGTACTCCGGGAGAGAATTCTGACCTCCTCATCATACACGCTGCTGACAATTTTCAATATGAGAGCCGAGAATGAGGATGCGACCGGTGACTTAGCAGAACTGTATCTACAGGAAGTTGAGCTGAAGTGACACCCAACGTTGGCTAACTAAGACACCAGCTTACGAAACGCATTAGCCGCCTTGTCTGATGAGGCATCCAACGTGTTTGGAAAGCTTTCTTCTTTATTGACTTACGTGTGGCAATATCAAATGTCGCAAACTCCGAACTTCCTGCACTGATCAATGAGGAACACAGTGCAACCCTCTACCGCCACTGCAAGGTCTGCATTGGAGAACTACAAGTCCCATCAGGAGAGTGCCTGCTGCAGGCCGATTGATAACTTATAATGATCCTCCAATATAATGAATGTTAATGAGATGACCTTTGCTCTTAGTCTCCGCTCGTTCTGCATTCGCAGCTGTCAGTCTAGATCAGCGGTTCTCAACTTGTGTCACCTCAGGACCCACACTTGTCCTCGGTCATTAAGTCGCGACCCAAGTCGCACTGCAATGGAACGCACAGCATAGCGGTACCGCGTGTCCCGGTGCGGGCGAACGAACTGGTGGTTGGGAGGGGCGTTAGGGGTGCCATTCAAAAGAGCCACCCAGTCTCCATACCTTACGAGAACTGGAGTGGATCCTCAGCCCGGGGTCCAGTGTGGGCTGCTGTGCTCCATCCATATGTACATTGCTTGTACAGCTCCCTTTGCGTTCCCTGTAGAGGTGCCGGGAGCCAGAATGTGACAACACTCCGGGTCAAGGCGCCTCTACGGGACACGTGAGGGAGCTGTACGTATAGATCTAGCTTCCTCATCCTACCTCAAGCTGACACTCGGCACCGGGCGGCGTATTTTGAAAGGCGGTTGGGCGCGAGAACTGACAGCGCTGCGCTAGGGGGAGGCTGTAGAGCCTCTCACCTAGAAAAGTGGAAGGCCTGCGGCGACGCGCTGAACATAGGGTCACGACCAGGGATGCACCGATACTAGTATCGGTATCGGTGCCGATACCAAGTATTTGGGTGAGTACTGGTACTCGCCCAAATGCTCCGATACCTAGAGTCACGACCCACCAGTTGAGAGACAAGGGTCTAGGGAACACTTCACCCACACGTCCTTTTCCCTCATTGATCACTCCGTGTACCTTAGGTAGGGGAGGAAATGTCGCCCTGAAGATGGATTTCAGTGTAACAGCCAGAACTATGTGTAATAAACCTGCAATTCCCAATGCAGGAAATGTGATGCAGGAAGGAGAGGACCGGCATTAGTAAATATGGGGATTATTATTGATCTCAGTGATGACTTCAAGAGTTCAATAAGGCCTCGGATAAAAGGACAAACCGACCCGAAACTGATCATCCATTCCCCGCTAAAGCTCGTGCTGATTCCTCACATGGTGCTGAAGGAATAATAAAACATTCACAAGTCTCCCAACACTTACGGGTCTCCATTAGGGGCCGGAGGGAAGGAATGTTTTACAACTTCCACAAACTCATTGACTGTCGGCTCCAACAGGAAGAGGACGGCGTTGGGACCCGCGTCAAAGCTGTATGCAACCTGCAGGACAAGGAGAGGAATGAGGGATTGCAGTACCTCGGTCAGCCCGTAGTGGGCAATGTAGGGATTGAAGTATCTTGGTCTGCCCGTAGTGGGCATTATAGGGATTGCAGTACCTTGGTCTGCCCATAGTGAGCATTATAGGGATTGCAGTACCTTGGCCTGCCGTAGTGGGAAATGTAGGGATTGCAGTATCTCGGTCTGCCTGTAGTGGGCGTTGTAGGGATTGCAGTACCTTGGCCTGCCGTAGTGGGAAATGTAGGGATTGCAGTTCCTTGGTCTGTCCATAGTGGGCATTGTAGGGACTGCAGTATATCGGTCTGTCCATAGTGGGCATTATAGGGATTGCAGTACCTTGGTCTGCCCGTAGTGGGCGTTGTAGGGATTGCAATACCTTGGTCTGCCCGTAGTGGGCGTTGTAGGGATTGCAGTACCTTGGTCTGCCCATAGTGGGCGTTGTAGGGATTGCAGTACCTTGGTCTGCCCATAGTGGGCATTATAGGGATTGCAGTACCTTGGTCTGCCCGTAGTGGGTGTTGTAGGGATTGCAGTACCTTGGTCTGCCCGTAGTGGGCATTATAGGGATTGCAGTACCTTGGTCTGCCCGTAGTGGGTGTTGTAGGGATTGCAGTACCTTGGTCTGCCCGTAGTGGGCGTTGTAGCGGTGGACCAGGTTGATGATTTGCTGTGACACCTGGTTGAGGTAGAAGATCGGGGGGAAGGTGTCCAGACACGTAGCGTGGAACTGATTGCTGTCCTTCATAGTCAGCTGCCCAAAGCTTTCAAAATCCTTTTTCCTGATAGACTCGATCATCTCTTCCATTCTTCCCGGAACCACAGACTCCGCCCTCATCTGAAACAATCACTTCATGTTCACAGAGCACTAGAATCCCCCCATCTGAAGATCTGTCATTATACAGGCCATAGCTGGCTCCGCCCTCAGCTGCCCTTACCAACCCCCTCTGTATAAGGGGAGACCCCTCACCAACCCCCTTCCTATAAGGGGAGACCCTTCACCAGCCCCCTCCGTATAAGGGGAGACCCTTCACCAGCCCCCCTCTGTATAAGGGGAGGACCTTCACCTACCCCCTTCCTATAAGGGGAGACCCTTCACCAGCCCCCTCCGTATAAGGGGAGACCCTTCACCAACCCCCTTCCTATAAGGGGAGACCCTTCACCAACCCCCTCCGTATAAGGGGAGACCCTTCACCAACCCGCTTCCTATAAGAGGAGACCCTTCACCAACCCCATTCCTATAAGGGGAGACCCTTCACCAATCCCCTCCATATAAGGGGAGACCCTTCACCAACCCCCTCCGTATAAGGGGAGTCCCTTCACCAACCCCCTCCGTATAAGGGGAGACCCTTCACCAATCCCCTCCATATAAGGGGAGACCCTTCACCAACCCCCTCCGTATAAGGGGAGTCCCTTCACCAACCCCCTCCGTATAAGGGGAGACCCTTCACCAATCCCCTCCGTTTAAGGGGAGTCCCTTCAACAACCCCCTCCGTATAAGGGGAGACCCTTCACCAGCCCCATCCATATAAGACCCTTCACCAACCCCCTCCGTATAAGGGGAGACCCTTCACCAGCCCCATCCATATAAGGGGAGACCATTCACCAACCCTCTCCGTATAAGGGGAGACCCTTCACCAATCCCCTCCGTATAAGGGGAGACCCTTCAACAACCCCCTCCGTATAAGGGGAGACCCCTCACCAACCCCCTCCGTATAAGGGGAGACCCTTCACCAGCCCCATCCATATAAGGGGAGACCATTCACCAACCCTCTCCGTATAAGGGGAGACCCTTCACCAATCCCCTCCGTATAAGGGGAGACCCTTCAACAACCCCCTCCGTATAAGACCCTTCACCAGCTCCCTTCCTACGGTATAAGGGGAGGCCCTTCACCAACCCCCTCCGTATAAGGGGAGACCCTTCACCAATCCCCTCCGTATAAGGGGAGACCCTTCACCAACCCCCTCCGTATAAGGGGAGACCCTTCACCAACCCCCTCCGTATAAG